AGAAGAAGAAACCCTTAACTTTTGCCTCAAAGAAAAACGGAAGTGTAGATAAATGTAAGGCGAAAAAAGTTTTTTTGTATTTTGACTTATTTAATGTCCAGTTCTGTGAGTGTTAACACATATAGATTTGTATAACCACGCTAAGCACGGGGAATGGAAAGAAATGAAGACATCACATCTCAAGAGGCCTGGCCTTGTTTCATTTGTTGGGCACAGTGTGGGGATAGGTGTTTTATCCATCCCGTGAGGAACAGAGATGACATGGAGTTAGGGAAAGACTCTGGGGTCTGAAACCCTCTATTCAAAGCCAACACTATAAGGTACTGGTGCGTCACCAGGAAGCAGCCCACCTCCCTGACTTCTGGTGCTTCTGATGTCGAGCAGTTTGCTGTGAGAATCTCCTGAGGGTGGGCTTGTACCTCATCCTCCGTAGGCGGCTTGTCGGTACCTATGGAAACGTGCAATGGTTCAGAATCGTCTTCCAGGTGAGCTGTACCTGGAGGGAAAGGCAAATTCACTAAATGAAATCGGACCCCCACGTCTGGAGTAAATGAGCCGCCCATACCCTCTACACCATGGGGTCGACATCTTGGTCAGGGCTAAATATCTGGGAGTCATCGAAGCTCGAGGCAGGTCCGGCGGGGGTGGATTCTGCTCTGCTTAGCTGTGTCAGCGGTACGGTCTGCCTTGACTGACTGCCCTGTGAATAGATGAGAAGGTTCTGAGCTATTAAATCAGTATTGCTTGTTTGAGGAAGACAAATGCAAAGGCGACATTTTATGAAGCCCGGCTAAAATCTTCATTTTGCTGAGACCCTTCCGTAGTCGTCCCTATCCTCTACAGCCAAGGGTTCAAATGCGGATCTCCCGGCAGACAGAGATTTCTGCCATCCGTCAGCCCTCTCCTTGTCTTACAGCCCCCCCACACGTATATTTATGCACTCATTTTACATCACCATAGAGAAAAGTGGGAACTCTTCTGAACTCTACCCCAAATTCACCCAGACTCCTGACATGCCCTGCTCGTGGTGGACGATAAGTAAGTCTAGAGGAGTCTGTTACCTTCACTTAATCCCCTTTTCATCCATCATTTTTCAGCTGACACCCTGGGCTCTGTAGGTAACATTTAGTGCCGCCTTGGACAACTGTACTGTTTAGACTGTGGTCACCTTTCCCGACTGCGCGCTTCTAGATTAGCCTGCTCTGAGCCTGCAAACTGTAGCGATCCGCAGGCAGTGCCCGCGAGTCCTGGCTGTGGGCGTGAGCTGAATCCCGTCTGGTGGGGGGGGGGGGGGCCCACGCCCGGGGCAAGGCAGCTGTTCGGCTCATTTTTAGGTTCCTCTCCATGTTCCCGATCTATCCACGTGTTAGTTCCCCTTGGAAACAAGCATCTGATTTAAATAAGATGAACTAGAGGAGTTATGATTTAAAAAAACAAAAATCTTTTAACCACATTTAGCAAGAGATTTCTAGGTCAATATTGATAAACCCGGTTATCTCTGAGGCTGTCTGTAAGGACAGGGGCAGCTCCCGGGATCACCGTGCAGGGAGTCTGTGCCCTCCCCGCTTCTGTTAGTGCCCACTGCCACCCAGACCCATTCCCGCAGCTGATGGCATTGGAGTGAACGTGTGTTGACAAGTTTGAAATGGAATCAGAAGGCCATGATGATAAGCTGTAAGGCTCTCAGGGTACGGTGGCGTGGTCAGAGGGCGTCATCTGGCATCTCCGCATGCACCAGTGGGGGCACGGCAGTGCTCTGGGCTAGAGAGTGAAGCTGACCAGCCACGGTCAGGGTTCTGAAGGCAGAGGCACTGCCAGCAGCAAAGCCTGTGTATGACCTGTGCCTTCAGAGACAGAATGTGGTCTCTAGGGTGAGGCTGTGCTGGAACTCGTGTTGACAGAGCCCTGGGGACCGATGATATGAAAGTGCCGGGGCCCCGAGGCTGAGTAACAGGGGCCGTCTGTCCTCGGGCAGTACTGGGGAAGGATCTCGTTCTGGAGACCTTCCCTTAGAGAATGCACATATAGCTGAGGCTCAGTAATGAGAATCGTGCTATGGTCCTACCATAGTCGTAATATGATTAGAACTTGCCAATTATCGTTTCTATGGCAATGAACTCCAGTCCGTGCATGTCCTTATATACATTGAAGAGTGTATTCTTAGGACAAATTCCTAAATTAATTTTTAATTTTAGGTAATCTAAATCTTGATTAAGCTTTCCCAGAAATTGTTTTACTTAGGATTAGAAAGTCAGCATGCACGTAGTCTCAATTATTTTGAGTAAAGAATAAGACCTTTGTAATTCTTTGTCTCCTTTAATTTCAAGCTGAATAAATAAATAAAAGGAAGTATTTTCATTTGTTGACTTTCATATTACGTGCTTTACACCGAGGTCAGGGACCATGTCTTAATCCTCTCTGCTTCCCCAGCATCTTGCACGTGCCCGGTAGACAGTAAGCACTCAGTAAACGTGGGAGGGGAATGGAGACTCAAAGTGGTCGGCTACTCAGGTCACATTCTAACCGTTTGAAAGGCTTACGTATGTCCTTTCCTCTTGGGTTAAATATGGGTTTGATTTATTGCTTATGCACATACCAAGATATAGCCTTGATCCTATTTTTGTGTTTGTTTTTAAGAAAAACTGTATCCTGAATGTTTTTGTGTGTGAACACTGTACGGAGTTTAGAAAAACACAGCCATCACTTACCGGGGATTACCTCTGGTAGGGGGCAGGGTCTGAGGACGGCAGCATCTGGCTGCTTCAGGCTTCTGGAAGCACAAATCTCAACAAATAAGTAGCTTAAAGAAATGAAAGAAATCCCCGCACTCCCACTAGACATAGAAAGAACCACCCCCCCCAAAAAAAAGAGGAGGAGGAAGAGGAAGAAAATTCCTGGCTTGGTCAATCCAGTGACTTAGAAAGGTGATCTAGGCCTTCCCACTTGGCCATTTTCAGCATGGTTTATGGCCTCATGTGGCTTCAGTAACTCCAGCTGTCCTATTGTCAACATAATGGAGTCCAGCTAATAAGAGGTAATGTTGCTTATGCATTAGTTTATGTTGAGGAAAGACTGCCCTCAGTGGACTTATTCCCAGATCCCACTGGCCATGATCAAGTCTAGCCCATGCTTAACCCAGTCCTTTGCAAGGGAAATGAGATCGCCATGATTTGCTTGGACCAATCCTGAGTCTTACCTTGGGCTGGGAAGGGGCCCCTATCTTGAACACATGGATCTGCAGAGGTTAGTACTGCCCCCCCCAAAAGAGACTGTGCCCCGCCACTGAGGAGGAAAAGAGAAGAATGGATCTGAATAACATACAGAAGTATGTAACGTAGGAAAATACATTTTACCTTATACCCTTCTGTATCGTTTCAATAATCAACTACTTTTATAACTAGTTTTTTAAATGCAGGATAATATCAACGTTAGAAAGATTCTTTCTTGATCTCTAGTTACAGTGACTCGCCAAGTTGAGGGATCGTGTTTTTTTTCTTGCAGCCCAACTCACCATGTTAGCCAAAGCAGATATCTTGGCAGGCTTCCACCTCTGCGTCTTCATCTGCGAAATTAAATGAGACCCTTTCTACCCCCTACCTCAGAGGAATATTAGAAATTACTGGAAGCATTAAACAAAGTTAACCCATGAGTAGGACTGTTGCTTTCATTGTCATTTGCACAATTTTCATTTCACTTACCTGGCCAGATGAAGGTGCTTAAATGCGATGTCTTACATTGCATAATTCAAAACTGGTGATGAGTGAAGAGAATTCCATGGCCATCTTTAAGTGTATTGTTGGTTCTGTTAATGTTGGCACACAGTTTTTCATCATGAGCTTGTTTTCTGAGTATGAAAACCTAGTGGAAGAATTCATTCAACTTTATCAGAGAGGTAGATGGAGGGAGGTATTATTCGCTGCCCTCTCACCTCCTGAGCAAGCCCCTCTTCATGCTGTGGGGCTGGTCGTCCTCCCCCGTCTGCCTCCCCTTCTGCAGACGGGGGAGGACAACACTCTCCTGAGGGGGCACCCCTTGATCTCTCTTCCCACGTATCTCCCGTCAAAATCCTTAGTTTCTCTGAGCCCACTTCTCTCAAATGTTCAGTTCCATCCTCAGGGAAATAAGCGGATTAAAATACTCAAACTGTGGATGCCAGTTCACCCTCGACATCTCCCAGAGGGTATTCACACTTGAAAAGAAGTCCTTGCTAATCTGTAGTTAGTGAAATGTTTGTTTAGAATAAGCAGGCCTTCCCACCGCCCCTTGGGTCAGCCCGCCAACCACAACTTTATCAGAACAAAAAGGAGAACAATTTAACATCCCCGTTTCTGAAATGTTTCCCACCATCTCTGATACTCCTCATCACCGTTTCCACGATGACTCACTGAAAGCAACCTCTGCACACTTCCCACCCCACCCCCTACCACCTCAGGGGTCGGGAAGAGCTCTAGGAGCTCTGCTAGATGTCACTGCATTCTCCCTTTGGCCATCTCCACCAGGGGGCTGGAGGCAGGCCGCTCTCGGGGCCTGGGACCCTCTTGGGACCGTCCGTACTGCCGGGAGCCCTGAAGCACCTCACTGGTCCGGGCGGGCCGACTGCCTTCCCAACACTCCCGTGTTCTCTTCCACACTCATCCACGCAGCTTGACTAGGATTTAAGGATGCCGAAGCTGTCCGCCTCACTCAACTGAACGGTTGACTCCTTTTCACTGTTTTGGTTTAGAATTTGTAATACTTCAAAAGCCTAACCTTTTGGGGGGAGGGGAGACTATAAATTTGTTTGTAGTTTTGCCAAAGGTCAATTTTATCTGCTCGTGGTCTGTCACTATCATTAAATGTTATGATCTCCTCGGAATCTTCAGAATTCAGAGCTCATCTGAGAATGTGCAGCCTTACCTCGGTCTAGTCTTCTTCCTGTAAAGGAAGTGAACTTCCCAGTGACCTATCCTCCGTAATGCAATGATGCCGTGCCTTGCTGATCCTCCATCTCTGCCCCACAGCTGTGCCGCCTGGAGCGTGTTCTCTCTGTGGGTCGGTACCAGGGAGCCCTGTTTGCCGATCAGCCTGTGATGTTCATCACCCCGGCCAGCGATCCCCCCAGAGCCAAGCTGCGGGAACTGGTCCTCCTGTGTGGGGGTCAGATCACGCGAATCCCACGCCAGGCCAGCATCTTCATCGGACCCTCCCAAGGAAAGAGGAAGGCGACCGCCACGTATCTGTCAGAAACATGGATCCTAGGTAGGACCCTGCGCCCAGGGATGGATGGGGAAGGTGCCCTCTGCTTGTCGTAGCTGCTGCTGTCCCCTTTAGAGCCACTGTTCTGGGGTCCTGGCCACAGAAGCAGATTTTTCTGGGGGGAACCGTGATGCCCACACCCCTGGCGATGTAGCCTTGGGGCTGTGGGATGGACACTTTGCATCCACACATCTGCCTTAACAGAATCCTGTAATCACTCTCAGTCACAAGCCAACCCAGACCCTCCTCCTTTTGACTGTCAGCCAAGGTACAGTTTGCAAGGACAGAGGAAACCCTGTTAGACGCTACCTACTTCACCTCCCTAGCTAGTGTGAAGAGCCAGCGTAGCCACAGCTGCCCCAGACCTTGGGGCCCCCCCCCCCGCCCCCCCCCCCCCCCCCCCCCCCCCGCTCGGAGGCTCTCTCCCGGGTGCCTGGCTCGCTGTTTCCGGGGCTGGGGGCCCGCGCCCAGCCGCCAGGACCCGCCCCCTGGTCTCCCACCGCTGTCTTGTGTGCACTGCTCCTGACACTCAGCTGTCCGTGTGTCAGAAAGGCACTCTTCCGTGCGAGAAGCTACATATAAAAAAAAAAAACAATCGGACATGAACTCATGTACAAACTAGCATTGATGGCGGCACGGAGAATGCCAGACGCTTCACGTGATGGGCAAGCGCTGGCACGAGCTGGGCTCTGCTTTCCAGGAGGCGGACCGTGTGGTGAGGTGCGCTTGTCTGTGACCCCAGGCCTGGGCGAGCTGTGGGGGTCCCCGGGAGGAGCAGGCTAAGCGAGACTGCGACGTGGGATCCACAGGCAGCGAGGACAGCTGGCGGGGAATGCAGGCGGCACGCGTGCGGTGATAGTGCTGGACGTGGCGGACGCACTTGGGGACCTGCTTTGGGATACACCTTCTTGGCCTGTGCTTCGTGAAGGTGATAGTTTGCCAGGGCTGTCCTTACACGTCCCGCAGACGGCGGGCTTAAACTAGGACTTCCTCTCTTGCAGCCTGGAGGCTGGAATCCAAATCGGGTTCTTCTGAAACCTTTTCTTCTTCCGTGTCAGCACCTGCAGCCGAGAGCTCTACCTGGCTCCCAGAGATTCGAGAAGCGTATTCTCTCCCTCCCGCTTCCCTGTTCAGAGCCTTCCTCCTGTTTGCCTCCCCTTGTCTCTAAGTCCCAAACTTCTGGCGTCTCTCACCCCTTCTTGACAATACCGTAACAGATAAGTAGATACTGTGTCCAAGCTGCTTGCATGTACCAAACAGACATTTGACGAATATCTTTTAAATGACTGATGGTCACCCTTTGATATATTTTAAAAGTATGGCCATCAAGAGTAATTTTTTACTCTCTGGTGCAAAGTAATTTATCTTCTGCCTGGAAACAAATTAAAAAAATCTATGATTTTAGCTACAGTCCAAAAGCCAAGAGGCTGTTTACTCTTTTCTAAATGCCAAGAATATAACCTTCAAAACATCCTATGTTCTGAAACAGGTTTTTTTTTTTTTTTTTTTTTTTAAGAAAAGCACATGTATCAAAATGACACCAACTGGAAACCAGAATTGTGCTTTATAAAAAATGTCTCATTCGGCTAACGGAACTGTGCACACGATTGATATCAACAGTGCATATCAACAACTAATCTTCACAGCATCTGCAAACTGTGTACCGTGCACGGGGCCAGCGTCTGGGCCCGCATGATTATTATTTCCAGGTTGGGGAACTCTGTCGCCCCTTCCTGCTGCCTGAGGCTTTTGTGCGTAGATCATGCACAGTGCAGCCGCCGGCCCAGTTCCTCCCGTTGTTTTGCCACTCCGCTGTCCTGCGAGGGGGTTTTTAGGAGGCAAATCTCTACCTGCTTGACCCCAGGGCTTAACTTTCACAACGCCCTGTGGAATTCTCTGGGTTTCAGAGCTGGGGCTGCAGGCCCGGGTTTCTTTCCTCTCCCATAATTCATGTCCTGTTTCTGATTTGTCATTGATTACACCATCTGCGTGTGCCCTTGGCAACTTCCGGGTATTGTGTGTTCTGGAATCCTTGGCTCTCGGCGTGGTGAAATCCTCACCCCTTAGGTGAGTCCCCCGACTCTCTGGCCGCTGCCCCTGTCCGCACCAGGGTGCCTCTGGTGACTTGGGTATTACAACATGCATTTTTCACATGTTTATGAGTTTATACTCTTTTCTTTTTGAATCGAGTGACAATATAATAGCTCCAACTTTGTGCCAGTAATGGAGATTTCATTTATATGTCTCTGCATCTATGCATGGACCCACAAAACACATGGTCCTGAGCATTGCACGTACTTTCCCATCAGGGCTGTGCCACTGGCTTGCTCTCCGAGCGGGGGCAGAGGCAAACCACCTCTTCTCTCCGCACCCGATGAACTCCTCTGTTACACAGGGTGATCACCCCCGCCCTGCTGACTTCCCGCGGTGGTACCTCACAGCCACAGTGGGCACAGTCCATGATCCTGGGTGACCGTATCCACTGACACAGCAACATTTTCTCTTCTGAAGACTTCTCCTTTCCTTGAGCTTCCACAGGGAGCATGTCTAGACAATATTTTATTCCCAAAATGTTGTGTAATTAAAATTTGGAATCAAATCCCTTGTAAATTAAAATTAAAACCATGTTAAGGCATCGATTTGAAAGAAAGTTATTTAGTTATTTTGTGACAAATTATGAAAAGCGATACTCTAAATTTGTTCCAACTAGAAGATCAGCGTGTAAGAGTTAAGTCACCCTGAGACTTAAGAGTAGTTTGAATCAAGTATTTAAAAGTCTTAAAAAGTAGCTTGTTGTATCCAGTCTCAGATTTGTCATTTGCTTCCCAAAATAAAAGTTTCCAAGGTTTTTTTTTTTTTTTTAGTACCTTTATATTTATTCCTATGTTTTATGGGATCTTTGTTTATGCAGATACAATGAAGTCACAGGGCATGGACAAGCAGATTTTTTTTTTAGACATTAGAAACCTCTGAGAAGTTTTTTTTTTGTTTGTTTTTTGGCAGAAAGAAAGATGATCACCACTAACAAAAAAAAAAAAAAGAAAAATTCTCTTTCCAAGACCTCCAACATCCTCTCACTTTATTCCTTCAGATAAGCTTTTTTATCCCTTCACCATCTGACCCAACATTTATATTAAAAGAGAAAACCCACAAAACTCTTAAATGATTCTTCCAGCATACGACTTTCTGCTAACCTCCAGCTCTTTCTTTGGGGGACACTGGTCGGGGTGACAAGGAGCATGCAGCCAGCTGACCCTCCTGGCTGCTGCCTGGCATTGCTGGCCTAGAATGGTGTGAATTTATGAAATCTCAAACAGGGCTCACCGTGTGAAATTTAAGCCATGTCTTACTCATCTGCTCCGTGGAGAGTCTCCTTCATGCTGGGTTGCCTTATAACGAGGCCATTGGAACGGTCATGATTATGTTCCCAATTCATTCCCCAGAGTCCATTTTCCCTGAAACAGCAGTATACTTAGGCCAAGATTTCTCGATGAATCATTGCACCAGAAGGAGAAATGGGGATTTTTGAGAGAGAAAATACTTGTGGGCACTTGAATATGTATGAAAATAAACAGGAAAACAAAAACCAAATTCCCGGCACCAGGAAACAAAATGTCACCTTTACCTGACATTGGAGTGGAAGCAAGTTCCAGTAATTTCACTTTCCCCAGCACACCCTCGAACAGAATTCCCATCTAACACACCAAGACAGTGAGAGGAGAGAGTCCCCAGTGACTCGACTGGTGTCTTCAGGGAGGGGTTGGAGAGAAGTCGGGAGCCCCAAGACCCCAGAGCATTTGTCACCAGTCTGCAAATTTTTGTGCTGTAGCCCTGTCTTTTCACTCTCTCCATCCCCCACATTGGTGTTATCACTGACGGCTGGTCTGGCCTTTCACAGAAGACATATTTCCAGTCTTGGGCGCCCTTTTATTGTCTGGGCTATGTTCAAGTGATAAGACATACATTTTATGCTATTGTGGGAACGTAATGTAATGTGCTCCACAGCGTTGCCAAAGGGGGGAAAAAATTAGCCTCTGCATGATTTCCTTATAACTTATAAAAAGCATTTGATTTGACTGTCTCCCCATGTCAATGTTTTCAGGAAAAAGATCTCTGATAGCATGTGGCTAGGCTTTTGCAGGCTAGCCTAGATCAGTGTTTCCCTGGATGGCTGACCACACAACTGGGCCTAGAAAAATGCTCTCCAGTATGGCATTTTGTGAAAGCAAGGCCGCTCAGGGGGCCTCTGCCCTTGGGATGATTAAACAGATGATGTCAGGGTTCCCTGAGATCCTTTCCGTCCACATGTTTACTGCATAGAAGGAACAAGTCACAGGCAGTGAGTCCATGTGCTGAGGAGGAGAAAGGGAAGAACCTGGGGCAGGTCTGCCCCCAGCCTGTCCCCTCCTCAGGATACTGCCTGACACCATCCTCCCCCGGGAGCTCAGCAACTAGTCAGAAAGTGACGGCAGATTCTTCAGACGCAATCACAGATGCCACGATGAATTATTTATGTTTTGAGTTGCTCTCAAATGGATGACACCTACCAGGATAGAAATGAATGGGAATAAAACAGGTGGAATTCTGTAATTTTGACATCTCATGTGTTTAAGTTTTAAAAATATAAATATGACTTAAAAATACACACACACACACACACATATATATATACATATACATACACACACCTTTTTTTTTTAAATTAACTGCCAGCTGCTGAAATAGGAAGCATTAACTTGGAGAAATAAGGGGAAGCGTGTGCTCAGAAAGTAGATTTCCCCTTAATTGTATTCACTGGTCAACTAGTGGTCCTAGATGGTGACCTTTGAACTTTCCTAACCTGTCTCACTCAGCTTCTCTGTTATATTTATGCCAACTGACCTTCAGTTACCAGATGTGAGCCTCGTCGGCGATACAGAAATTAAGAAGCATCTTGACAAGCAAAGTGGAAAATAAAAGACCCTCTCCTATACCTTACAAGCCAGGGCAGTTTTCAAGCCTCA